ATCTATTTAGTTAATAGCTGACACACATTAAATATTTGGAATTTTGTTACTGGAAACTGTGTATCCTCTACTTTTATTATATATTTTCCCTCACTTTCTGCAAAATTATCACGATTAGCTAATGCAACTCCTTTGAGAATAGTTTCAAACAATAATTTTCTGGTTTTTTCCCCTCAGTATACCTGTCTATCAGCTCAATTATCCAAGTTAAGGCCACTACCTGCTTCATTCATTGGGCACTGTAAGACTGTGGTTCTCAAACTGTGGCTCATGAACAATCAGAGGACTGTACTTTCAAGCAAGATTAGAGATTTATCAAAGTAACTTAAAGTTTTACCCTAAAAAGCGGTTCACTTCTTATAAGAATACACTGCGATGGTAACTTGTGCTGCAAATCAACACATATAAAAATCACTTTTTGCTGACCAATCAGTTTCCTAAAAAGCAGTGACCACAGAAAAGTGGCACCTGGTGTGCTCTTCTGCAGCTGTAGCTCATCTGCTTCAAACTTTGATGTTTTGTGCATTTAGAGATGTTCATCTGCATTCCTGGTCTCGCGCAAGTGGTTTTTTGAGTAACTGTTGCCTTCCATTCAGCCCACAGCCTTAATCCTCTTACCTCTCTGGGTCAAGGCATTTTGACCCCGAAAACTGCTGCTCTCTGGATATTTTCTCTTTTCCAGAAAATTCTCTGCAAAGATGGTTGTGTAAGAAAATCCTAGCAGATCAGCGTTTTATGATATACGTAGACCAGCTAGACCCAGACCATGTCACCAATGACTATGCCACATTCAAAAATCACTAAAATCATCTTTCTTCTGATTCTCTGCTTGAACTTAAGGAGCTTGTCTAGACCATCAGCATGCTTAAATGCATTGACTGTATGCCGTGTGATTGGCTATTTAGATTGGATTTGCATTAACAACCACTTGACTGGTGTATACCTAATGAAATGGCTGGTGAATGTACGTATATAGGGCCTTCCAAGGCTTACTGACTAAAGCACTAAACCACACATATTCCTATCAGGCACTGCTGACAAATGCCGGGTTGACTTATGAGGGTAATAACTACCTTTGTGTAAGTGCTTAACCTGAATGCAGATATTGAGATAAATAAATCTTGACATTTTGAACTTACTCTGTGGTCCTACACGAAAACAAACATGTGAAGTGAAACTAGTTGAATAAATATACTTATTGCTAAGGCTTGATAAAATCTCTGGGGCATGCCAGCCTGAGGGCCAACACCAGCTCTTGGTAAGATTTTATGAGGATCCTGAGCCTGACAAAGAAGAAAGAACAACTCTGCATTTCATTCATCCACTTCATCACTTCAGACATGATACAGCAGTGCAAAATAAGATTATGGGACCACAACGCAAGATTAAGTCTTCCTAACAATTTCAGCTACAAGCAGTGCCAGCTCGGCATCAGTTAAAAACTTAAAGTATATGACAGCAGTGTGCCCCTCAATCATATGCAAGACTTAAAAAATGTTTTAAGGTGTAATTCACTTCTTGTAATTCACAGTTCTCTTTCCAGAATTCAGAACGGGTTCAAGTCAATCTTACCTTTGGCTGAGGGAAAGGACTGCAGTCTTCCTCCTGTAATTCCTCCAGCAGGGCGTCAATATCCTCAGTGACACTGTTCACTGACCGTTTAGGCTTTGTGGCACTAAATCAGAAACAAATACATGGATTAGTGTCTTGGGGTTGTAGCAGCTGCTGGTGACAGATATTAATGACTGTTTTTAAGAGCAAACCTCTGTATCTACAATAACCCATATTCTGCATATTTCGGCAGTTTCTAGTATAATTTGAAAACGCTGAAGCCATTGAATATAAACTGAACTGATCATTAAGTTTATTAAATTGTAGCAATGCATGGAAGCTGAAGTAATGCTCAGCTAACTTATACCTGACATGTGCTAGCCAAGTTAGCTTTGTTTACCCGTGCTTTTTCTGTCCGTCTTTGTCTTTCTCGTCTTTTCCAGCCACATTTGAGTTGGTGCGAGTCGCTGAGGACGCGATTGAAACGTTGCGACAAAACTTTTTCTCGACTTCATCCAGCAACTCGTCCAAATCTTCATCATCCATCGTAAAGAGTTCCTCCCACAGAATGCTGTACCCCCACCGCAGCTAATCAGCACAAGCTAGCGGCCGAAACCATGAGAGCGTTTATCGTTGCTAAGCAACAGCGGAACATAGCGGAAGCCGAACTGCGGAGTCTTCAAAATAAAAGTCTAAATCGACTCATGCTCAAATAAAGTTTTAATTTATACTTGACATTAGGTATTACATTAGGGATTTGCCCCAGAGCCTCTGCTTGTTTGCAGATGTTTGTGTCTACCTGACATATGTAGGTCAGGCATGAATCTCCTGGACTATGATGTTTGTAGACAACAGTGTTATCGATAGTGAGAGTAGGGACCTGATAAAATAGGGTCTGGAGAAGTGGGGTCATTGTTCTCTAGAGAGATTGCGAATGAAAATCAGTAGAAGAAAGAAATACTCAAGATAGCAGTGAGACCCCCCAAAAACCCCATACAGGAACACACACTTTGTCTAACCTTTTTTCAGGTTAAAGTATACTGATATCTTACAGGTAACTATCAAATAATTACATTTGACAACATGGGCGCGCAACTTCTATTATATATTGGGATGTTTATTTATAATGGGATATTTATAAATAGAGCTATTTGTATTTATTAGAGCTATTTGTATTTTTCTTGCTGTGTTTTATTTCATTTAGTTGTACATCACTTTGGTCATCTGTGTTGTTTTTAAATGTTTATAAATGTCAGTCATGATTTTGTTCTGTTTTGTAACTCTTTAATATATTGTGATGTTTCATTAAGTTTAATTAGAACGCTTATTTTATTAATAATTTTATTTTGAAAATGTGACAGGATGTACTGTTAGTTGTTCTTTCGTTGCTTATAACATTAGAACAACCGTTTTTAAACTAATGTAGGCTAATTTGTCAACAATAAAATAGTCCCGTCCTTTGAAAACCCGAGAATGTAGAATTGCAAATTGCATTTTAAAAATAAATAAATAAATAAGCCAAAAAGATTCGTTGTCGGCAGGATTCGAACCTGCGCGGGGAGACCCCAATGGATTTCTAGTCCATCGCCTTAACCACTCGGCCACGACAACCGGATGTAGCTGTACTTTCAAATTGCACGTTTTTAACAGGCCACGTTAGTCTTATACGAACGACAGAATGAGTTCCTTTGGTTCATAGCGTAGTTCTACTGAACTGTACTGTACAAAGTACAAGTACAGTTCCGCAGAACTACGCTATAGGAACAGGTGTATTTGTAGATATCAGTGGTGTACTCTGTATTTACAACAGTATTTGCAACCGATTTCCCTACTTCCCTTAGTTGAACAGCTCTACACACCCACATGCTGTAGTCTCACATTACAGTAGTTACTGCAGTTTAATTTGAAACCGGTGTTCCTTAGAATGTGAAAATATCCAACATATATTGTGCATCGAGCTGTAAAAAGGCGCGAGGTCTGAGTTTTACAAGAAGTGCTGCTTTGAAAAAGTCCCAACCACTCAAACACGGTGAAGTGTGAAGACGGCGGAAGAAACTTGGTTAACCTCGTAGTTGAGTTATTTGGGGTCAAGGAACAAGTCTGACTTCCTGCTCATTCAACATTAAAGAAAACCCAAGTCGTATTCCCGTATTATGAGTTCAGGTGCCTTCCCATCAGGTGCAACGCTTTTCCGCGAAATTTCCTGAAATCAATTAAGACTTTAGGGAGTTCCACAGTTTTATGAAAACAAATATTATACTAAAATAGAATACTACTCTCCCTGAACACTCACAGAGCTTGATACAATATTCTTCAGTTTGAGGGATTGCCCTGCTTCCATTATGACACATAAAATATATTTAGAAGCTTAGCATTCATCCAGCGGCAACTTAATCCATAATATACAGTGAATTGTATGTATTCATCTATATAAAGCTTCCTTAACCATTGTGTCAGCTCTCCCTTCACTTCAGATGCAGCCATTTATCTATCTATCCACTTTTTAAATGCTTATCCGGTTCACATGAGCCTGTTCCAGCTAACACTTGACATTTTCCCAGGACAAGCTGACAGAGGTGGTTCACCTCCAATTCAATTCAATTCAATTCAATTCAATTCAATTCAATTTTAGTTATATAGCGCCAAATCACAACAAAAGTCGCCTCAAGGCGGTTCATAGATACAGAGAAAAACCCAACAATCATATGACCCCCTATGAGCAAGCACTTTGGCGACAGTGGGAAGGAAAAACTCCCTTTTAACAGGAAGAAACCTCCGGCAGAACCAGGCTCAGGAAGGGGCGGCCATCTGCTGCGACCGGTTGGGGTGAGAGAAGGAAGACACGATAAAAGACATGCTGAAGAGAGACAGAGGTTAATAACAGATATGATTCAATGCAGAGAGGTCTATTAATACATAGTGAGTGAGAAAGGTGACTGGAAAGGACTGGACTCCAGCATCGTCCTGTTGAGAGGAAGCAGTGCCATGCTGCCCAGCTCTTCACTTCATTTATTAGCGTCTTCTGCTCCTCTGTCATGCAGCGTCCCACAGGGCTCAATTTTAGGGCCACTGCTCTTTTCACTGTATCTACTGCCTCTGGGTTCTATCCTTAGAAGGCATGGGATCTCATTTCATTGTTATGCCGATGACTGCCAAATTTATTTGCCACTAAAACACAAGGATGGCATCACCATAAAACCTCTCTTGACATGTCTAGATGACATTAAAGCTTGGTTGGCTCTAAACTTTTTAAATTTTAATGAAAAGTAAACAGAAGTGTTGGTGTTTGGACCCAGTGGTCCCTGTGAGTCCTCCTCTGTTGTTTTAGGATCCCTGGAAGTCTATTTTAAAACTGTTGTTACTGACCTTGGTTTTAAGTTGCACAGTGATTTTAAATTGGACAACCAAATCGAAGCAGTGGTGAAGTCCAGTTTTTATCATTTAAGGCGACTGGCAAGAGTAAAATCTTTTCTTTCGAGGCAGCACCTTGAAACAGTGATCCATGCTTTCTTCCCGCCTGGACTACTGTAACTCACTTTATGTGGGGGTCAGTCAGTCATTGCTCTCACGTCTGCAGCTGGTTCAAAATGCGGCTGCACAACTCCTAACAGGAACTCGAAAAAGAGAGCATGTAACCCCCGTGCTAGCTTCTCTGCACTGGCTGCCTGTGTCTTTTAGAGGTAATTTTAAAATTCTTATGTTTGTTTTTAAATGCCTTCACAGTCTTGCCCCGCCTTACCTCTCTGAGCTTCTTCATCCCCACATACCCTGTCAGTCTCTCAGGTCAGCTGACCAGCTGCTCCTGGAGGTACCGAGATCCAGGAGGAAGCTCAGAGGGGACAGGGCCTTCTCTATTGTGGCTCCAAAATTATGGAATAATTTGCCCATGCATGTTAGAGAGGCCCCTTCACTGTCCATTTTTAAATCACGTCTTAAAACCCACTTTTATTCCTTGGCTTTTAACCTCAGTGAGACTTAGTTTCTCTTTTAATTGAAGTAGTTATTTAATTAATGATTTCACTCTTCTTTTATTTGTTTTTTATTTATATCTCATGTAATTTTATTTTACAGTTCCAATGTACAGCACTTTGTGTCAGCTGTGGTTGTTTTAAAGTGCTTTATAAATAAAGTTGATGATGATGATGATGATGATGATGTAACTTGTCTAACTACACTTTCAAGTTAGGAAGGTTTGTCAGGTAACAATGAAGCCCAAGATGCAGTTTAACAGCTGTCATCTTAGAAGTGTTAGTGTAATAACTCATAGATTAGCTTTTCTAACTACTCCTATTATCACCTAGTTCAGTTTGTAGTAAATTTACTGGCACTGACTGGTAGAGTGGTTTTCTACTCTGAGAACACTTTTACACTACAAACTCCATACACCAATCCCAAACCAAGCATGTTGCCCAACAACACTTTAGCATGGAGACTCAAGGAACTGGAGATCGAACAACTGATCCCACAAGTTATTAATGACCTCTTATATTTTATGTCAGAGTTTGGAAAGCAACAAGGAATGCCCAGAGTCTGTCCAGGAGAGGTAGAAGCTTCTGAGTAATTTCTGACTTCCAAAGTCGGTTTCTGCACCATCAGACATAAATTGTTAGACACTAATGTGCTGCACTTTAGTTGATGAACAGACCCCAAAAAGCTGCAGAGACACAGATCCAAACTCAAAAATGTATTTATTTAATATACAGGCAGTATTTGGGAGATCACTGGTACTGCAGATGTGTCCATATAGTGTTTTTTTTATGCATTTTTAAACTATCAACAACACACATTAGAAGCACATACACATAAGAAATACCAATGTATTCCTTATGTGTATCATTGAATCAAAAAAGTATCCATGAATCATTAATTGAGATACAGAAAATAAAGCAATAATTTTCTCATGTTACGCTGACTGAATGCAGAATGTCAGTGTTCCCATTTCTGTCTCTTTTTGTTTTCAGTTTAAGAAAGTATATATATATATATATATATATATATATATATATATATATATACACATATTCTTTTTCTGTTGAAGATTTAGGCAATATACATGTTGCTGTGGAGCAGCAACAAAAGAACTTTTATGTCTGTTACCAAACACGTTGGAACGAACGAACAGGCGAAGACCTAAATGCGGACATAAAAAATAAGAAGTGGACCGATAAAAATAAATCCAGACTACACTGACCCGCTCTTAGGACTTTCCCCAAAACAAATGTCACGCTAAATGCAAATAGATCACGGGTGTTCCTATATGTCATCATGTTTCACTTCTTCTTTAGAAGGTCACTTTGTTTTTTAACATTTCAAGTGACAAAAGTCTCCTTTTTTTGGTGTTGTTGTTCTTGAAGGTCATTTACAGATGTGGTACTTCCTGAGAATAATTCTCTGAACATAATTTTTTTTTCAAGTTACAACATTAATAAGTCAATAATATAGATTTAATCCAGAAAATCACTTATATAACAATAGCTTATTAAAAGGTCTGCTTTAAAGAAAGAAAACAAGAAAATATGAGAACATAAAATAATTAACAGAATCCAGGATGCTAGTTTCTGTCATGGCTCAATTAAAGCAGGTAGTTTAAAGTAATTTTCAGTGTGGACACTTTAAACTTGTAGGAATGC